GCATAAGTAAAGGGGTAGCAGGCTGGGGAGATGGGGAAGAATGGTTCCTGGGGGGCGAGGTGAGGGTCCAGCTTGGGTGAGCATTTAGGTTTGATAGTTAGGTTCCTGGGTGTGACCCCTACCTGGCCTGACACCTCCCAGGTTGGTCTCGGCCCAGTTTCCCATCGATCACTTCACACACATCTTCATTGATGAGGCTGGCCACTGCATGGAGCCTGAGAGTCTGGTGGCCATAGCAGGTGAGGGGTTTGGGGTGGGCTGCAGGTATGCTACCGTGTGTGGGACCAGGGAGGCGCCACCACTTACCTTTCTCCCTATGCCACCCCTGGCTCCCAGGGCTGATGGAAGTCAAGGAAACAGGCAATCCAGGAGGACAGCTAGTGCTGGCAGGAGATCCTCGGCAGCTGGGGCCTGTGCTGCGTTCCCCACTGACCCAGAAGCATGGGCTGGGGTACTCACTGCTGGAGCGGCTGCTCACCTACAACACCCTGTACAAGAAGGGTCCTGATGGCTATGACCCCCAGTTCATTACCAAGCTGCTACGAAACTACAGGTATTCCCGCATCCTCACCTCTCTGCTATCCCATGCCTTCACACCCTCCATGCAACCCCACCTTGAGGCTGTGTTGCTCAGAGACTGTGATGCAGAAAGACTATAAACTGGAAGGTAAGGGGTCTCCTTTTAGCCCCATCACTGCTACCTGTTGTCTGTGTGACTTACAAGTGGTTTCACTCTGGACTGGTTGGCTCATCTATTAGGGGGTGGTCAGTGGTTCCCAGGCATTAGGATGTGCCTGGTGTGGGTACCAGATGAAATCTCCAGGCAATGCAAGGAGAAATGAGAAAAATAGAATACAGTTTTTCACAAACCTATTGTTATTCAAATTAAAGAGCTATATGTTTTTAGTAAATGAGCTCAGACATCTAAAATGCTTAGATGAGTTCCAGGTGGTCACTAAAAGTTCAATAAATGTTAGCTATTGTGTCATTACTTCTTATATTTTTAAATTTAACACGTTGTCTTATCAAATAACTGATAGTAGGGCCGGCCCGGTGGCGCACTTGGTAGAGTGTGGCGCTTGGGAGCGTGGCAGCGCTCCCGCCGAGGGTTTGGATCCCATATAGAGACTGGTCCGCTCACTGGTTGAGCGCGGTGCGGGCGTGACACCGAGGGTTGCGATCCCGTTGCCGGTCGCAGTACGGGCGCGACACTGAGGGTTGCGATCCCATTACCAGTCACGAAAAAAAGACAAAAAGGGAAAAAAATAATAACTGATAGTAGATGATGATAATTTGTTTTTGTACTATCCTTCCTTGGCAAAACTGAAGCCTGAGAATGGGTCACTTGTTTTTTGTTTTTTTAAAAAAATTTGCTCCATGAAAGCCCTGTATTAGAACCACATTTGCTTTCTGAGGTTTACAGTGCTTGGCAGCAGACAACATAGATGATTGTGTCCTGTCCTATCCAGGGAGCAGGAAGGCAGGATGATGAGTGTGGGCCCAGAGCAGGTAGAGCCGGGGTCCCTGAGGGCAGGGCAGGAGCAATCTGGCCCTGGGTCTTGTTCCTTCCTTCCTCATCCTGCCGCCCAGGTCTCATCCCACCATCCTGGACATTCCTAACCGTCTGTATTATGAAGGCGAGCTGCACGCCTGTGCTGATGTCGTGGATCGAGAGCGCTTCTGCCGCTGGGAGGGTCTGCCTCGACCGGTGAGGATGAGCAGAGCAGCAGCTCGAGCTTCCACCCCCGTTCCCCGACTTCCTTCCAACTGAAGGTGGAGGGCAAGAGGAGGCTCTGCGTAGAAGCCATGGGCCCCTCCCTTTAGCACCTTGGCCCGGGATTCATTATTCCCTGGAAGGGTTTGGGGGTGGGAGGGAAGGGAGGCAGGGAGGTCCAGCTGAGGGTTTCCCCTGACCCTGTGTCCAGGGCTTTCCCATCATCTTTCACGGCGTAATGGGCAAGGATGAGCGTGAGGGCAATAGCCCATCCTTCTTCAACCCTGAAGAGGCCGCCACAGTGACTTCCTACCTGAAGCTGCTCCTGGCCCCCTCCTCCAAGAAGGGCAAAGCCCGCCTGAGCCCCCGAAGCGTGGGCGTCATCTCCCCATACCGGAAGCAGGTCAGGTCCTGAGTTCCCAGCAAGGGTGGGAAACTCCCCATCCCCCCACACCCCATGGTATCTCCTTAATAACCAGACCACTTGGCAGAGGTTCCAGGAGCTCAGGCCTCTGTGGGCCCCATATCTCAGAAGAGCACAGGGGTCTCCTACCCCTCCCTCTCTGCCCACGTCCCGCCCCTGGCTCCCTGGCCTCCTGCTTGGCTCCCTCTTGCATTGTGTAATGGCATGAGAAAAGGCACGTGTGGCCTCCTTCCAGGTGGAAAAAATCCGTTATTGCATCACCAAACTTGATAGGGAGCTTCGGGGACTGGATGACATCAAGGACTTAAAGGTAACACACTGTTCCACTTTCGTTCCCTGCCTTTCTGTGTACCCCTCACTTCCCCACTTCTAGAGACCTCCTCGGGCTCCTGCCCTGCTACTCCAGTCCAGTGTATGTACCTGTCCCACCCTGCTGCCTTGACAGAGAACTTGAGCTCTCCAAGTCTCTCACTCCTGGAGATCCCAACTTGTAGGTCTGGGATGAGATCAGGAAGCCTGCATGTTTAACAAGCAACCCCAGCTCATTCTTTTGATCAGGCAGGGTTGAGGCCTCTGCCCTAAGGATAAAGTCCAAACTCCAGGGCTGTCATGTGATATTGTCATCACCACAGGCTGCAGATAAAAATCACCTGGAGCGTTTTTAATGCTACCAGTGCTAAAGCCCCACCCAACTAATTAACACAGCCACCTGGGGGCACAGCCAGGGCTTTGGTATTTTTTTACAGCTGCTCATGTGATTCAAATGTGCCGCCAGGGTTGAAAACCAGTGCTTTAAGATTAAGAGGCCTCTCCTTGAAAATTCTGATCAGGAAGTCTGGGTTAGGGCCCAGGATTGTATATTCCTAACAAGTATCTAGTGATTATCTTCAGGGAAGTTTGAGACACACTGCTCTCAGTTACCCTGTCCTTTACAATGCTGTTTTCTTTGCTTAGAAACACTTTCTGGGCCCCACCCCCTTAACTACATTCATCCTTCAGGTTTCAGCTTCCACCCTCATCCTTTTTTCCTGACCCTCGTAGCAACACTCACTACCTCCACTAACCTGCAGTTGCCCAGTTCTCTGTACCCTTCTTGGAGTTCAAGCTCCCTGGGGCAGGGCTTGTCCGTGTGGCGCTCCTGTGTCATACACACACACCCCACCACCACCCTGGCCTCAGGCCCTGCTTCTCCCCACTCCAGGTAGGCTCCGTGGAAGAATTCCAAGGCCAAGAACGCAGTGTCATCCTCATCTCCACCGTGCGGAGCAGCCAGAGCTTTGTGCAGCTGGATCTGGACTTTAACCTGGGTTTCCTTAAGAACCCCAAGGTCTGAGGGCTGGTGGGTGGTAGGAATTCTTCCTTCCTTAGGGCTCTTCCCTCCCATGACCCCACCACTTCTTCCTTCCAGAGGTTCAACGTGGCTGTGACCCGGGCCAAGGCTTTGCTCATCATAGTGGGCAACCCCCTTCTCCTGGGCCATGATCCTGACTGGAAAGTGTGAGCATTCCCACCCCATAATCCCTCTTGGTGGCCACCCCCCCCCCCCCCCCCCCCC